ACACACACACACACACACACACACACACACACACACACCTGTGCTCCTCAGACAGGTTCAGTCAGACGAGGCAGCTCGCATTTCATGCACTGGACCATTCAAAAGGCTTTACAAGATACTAAAAACACAGCGAGGACACAGATTGAACATTTAAATAAACTAAATGAATTAAAAATAGTAAAAGTGCAGCAAGAGACAAGCTGCTGTTTCTGTAAGTGAGCAAAACTAGAACCTAAAGCCTCAGATCTTCAGATTAAAACCATCCTAACTGCTGCCAAACCTCTGTTACAGCTGTCCTCTGATTTCCTTTAAATCTGTCGTTATTCTGATGACGGAGGCTTTCTTTTTACTAACCACTTATTGCCACTAAGGTGAGCTTGTAGCAGTGGCTCCTTGATTAAAAATATGATGGGATGGACATCTGATCCGTCTGTGAAGACATAGTTACTGTTGTTTCTGAATATTGGATGTGGTGTCCTCTGGTCTCTGGGCTTGTTCTGAGGCCCTCTGCTGGTGGGAGAAGTTTCATTCAAACCTGCTGACAGTCCAGAGAACCGAAACCCTCAAACACAACAAGTTCTGCATCTGCCTCATGAAACATCTGGGCTGGTCCAGAGTCAGTCACTTCACTTCAGGGACAGAACAGTTAAAAATGTTCCCAACAAGTCGATCGTGTCGACAGAAGTTCAGTCCAGGTTTGTCTCACAGCAGTGTTCAACACACAGAAGGACGAATTCATCAGCGGAGGAGAAACTCTTTCACACAGCTGGAGAGAAAAAACTTTTATTTGCTTTTACCAAACTGATGAAACAAGAGAACGCTGAGTCGACGTGTTGAATCCAAGGACAGAGCTGAAGAAACGAAGTGAAGGGATTCATTGTGGAGCACCAGGTTTCTACAGACTTTGACAGGAGCGCTCTTTGCTCCTCTTCAGGAGATTCTCCAGGTTGAACTCACATCAACAGTTTAGTTCAGAAAACATTCCTGTCGTCCTCAGTTTCAGCTGAAAACTCGTTTGTTCTTCTTCATCTGATCAGCTGCGTCAGTTTTAGTTCAATGATGTTTCTTTCTCCAAAGAGCTCAGCTGTCAGGACGGTGTGGTAACAGCACTGATGGAGCCACCAGATGGCGCCACCCGTCTGCTTTTGTGTCTTTATCGTCCAAAAATACAACAATTTGGTTTGTTGGAGTTCATAAGTTCAGGAGTGTCCTTGAATGCACCACAAAGTCTAAAGATGCTCTCAGTCACCACAAACAGACCAAGAGGCTGTGATCACGTGTCTGAGGAGGGTTTAGGTGGCAGAAGAGCAGGAAGAGGAATAAATGTGGATGCAACTAAAGCAGCATGATCAGATTTTAGGTGTAACATCAGCAACACTGCAGCTCCACTCAGCGTTCAGTCCCTGTTTGGCTGTAATTGTTTGATTCGTCAGTGTTTTTAGCAGTTTTTATGAAATAAACTCCCACCCAGCTGATTCCTGTTGTGTGTCTGGAAGCTCCTGGCACATTTATTTTAGTAAGAACATTAAATCTTGGCCTCCTGCTCTTCTCTTGGAGCAGCGTCTCCTCTGGGTCGGCAGGTATGTTCAGGTATGTTCTCCATCACATGCCAGCTGCATGTGTTTGCACTGTAAGATAAAAAAAAACTCAGCAAGTTAAAATCTAAATAAGAAATAAATAGATAAACAACAGGTCACATCCCAGCAGCTAGAAAATACTGTGGACAATAATACAGGAACTTTCCATGAATAAATACAATGTTCTGGCCTTAGTTTGGACATGACATTGTTCTTATGTCAGTGAAGGAAAACCACTTCTTCAGTCTTCTGTTTAAATGGTGACGTTTCAGAGCTCCTGTTTGCAGTGTGCAGCTCCTCCAGTCAGCTGATCAGCATCATTCATATACTCAGTTCTCTACCAGCATCCTGTCTGGCATCCTTTGCAGTAGCGATGCTGCTTTCTACCGTAATAAATCTTTAAATCCTTCACAACAGCCTGGTTCTCCTGGCTGAAGCAGGGGACGAACCATCAATGATGCATCAGACGCCTCCTGTGATGTGAGCGAGTCTGAAGAACGAAGCAAAGACAGCTGTCGTCACACTCTGGGTCTCAGGCTGGTTAAAGCGAGTAAAGCCTGACTATGTCAAACAAAGCAACAGTCAGACGGCAGCGTGTGAAGACCAGCAGATGAAGAGATGAAGGCCGTCCTGCGGTCCGGTCGGACACCTCTGAGCGGTACCGTGGTACCGTGTGCTGCCCGGAGTCGGCTGCATGTGTAAACAAGCGGTTGTTTGCAGCTTGGTACGGTGATATGTGAGGAATGTATTCCAGTCAGCTTTCTGAAAAGTCCTCTCATCCCCCAGGGCCAGAAATCAATGATCCTATCCAGCAGCCACTCCTACACACCAATTTGTTCCGACAATTTTCTCATATGAATGAAATTTACGAGTGGCCCAGACCTGTCGGACGCATCACACAGTCTGACTTCCCATAGAAACAAAACACTGAAGGACGTGGACCATGTGGGGTGTAGATGACACAGGAATCAGCCAAAGTAAATACAGAAGTAATACAGACTTAGTTCAGTCCTGTTCACCGTCATCATGGCCTGTAGGTGGTTTTGTGGAACATCTCAGCTGCTCCCTCATCATGACGGCACTCTGTCACCTTCTGCTTTCACTACGTGTGACTTCACGCCAAACCTTTCTGTGTTCTCCTGTTTCTGACGGTCAGAGTCTTTATGAGCGGCTGCATTACAGCTACGAGCTGGTCAGGATCATGTGACATTAGTCCTGTTGTGTTGGGCTTCTTAGGAATTGAATCGGATCACTGACTGATGGAGATGTAATAACACAAACTCACAAAGTGGACGTCGCATATTTCAGGTCGTTGTGGCCAAATAGTTCAGTCTGTTCCATCTGAGCAGAACGTTCCTCCAGAAGGCCTTTTCTTTGTCCATGTGATCAGTGGAGCTTTAAGGTTCTGCTTCTAGAGGAAGAACTTCCTTCTCCATCAGCCTCTCAGCTCATGTTGATGTCAGACCCTGTGGACACTGACAGCTGTGTTCCAGCAGCTTCTGGTCCATCCAGAGCTGCTT